CTTTTTATCGTCTGGATCGATTGGACGCACAGTAGCCAGAGGATCAGGTGTAAGCCTAGGCTCAAACCTCCCAAAAGCAAAGTTGTCACAGTAAGAATCACCGTTAGCCTGCAACCGATGAATAACACTGTTTTCACAATTTACCCATTGGCAATGCTTTATAACCTGAACACGTGTCTAAAGTCTGCTTGTTTTGATTGAGTGGTAAATGCAGAACTCAAATAATGCCTTTAAGATAGCTCGATATCTCAAAAACTGATAAGCAAATACGACTCCTGCTTAATGAAGAGGGTTTAAAATGTATCCTCGGGGTTAAACTTGGCTTGATGGAGCTTGTAGCAATGAGGCATAGCCGTGTTGTAACCAGAGAAAGCAACTTGTTTTAAGTTAGTAGACCTTAAGTACATCATTAATCATTTCTGTTGGCCCCTTTCGACTGGGCTTTATTGCACTGCGTTGGCCTTATTACCCCAATGCCATGGGCAGGCCTCACTTACCTCGGACGTGAAATACTCGAGGTCGTCGAAATGCAGTTTAGCATGACCTTTGCGTTGACCGCCCTGTGAAGGCGGTCCAAAGAGAGGTGAAAGGGCAGGCGAACGAGGTGGGGATGAGTCATTTCTGGACTCCACCAACACTCGAATGAAACCCACGTGTTCGCCATTGCGATTAATTAACGGTAGCTCCTGCTCGTGTGACATGTCAAAGTAGAGATTGGTAAGGTAGACAAGGCACCTGTAAGAAGGAAAATGTGTGTCAAATTAAGGAAAGGGTAGAGAGAACTTCTCACCTTCCAATGGACTTGAACCATGGAAGTTTGTCGTAGAAGGGATCAGTGGTTGCAGCGTATTCCTCCTCATCGTCTTCTTCCTTGTTCTCTTTCTTGACACTTTCGTCGTTAACTCCAGCCCTTGTTGCAACCTCAGAAGAAGATTTCGCGGAGTAGGAGGATGACAAAGCATTTCTGCTTGGAAGTGAGTACGGCTGATTGAATGCACACGTGGAGAGGTCACCTT